ACCGCTCTTGCGAGCTCTTCAAAATTTCTAGTATAAGATTTGTCACCATCGTCAAGATAAAGAAATAGAACAGTGCGGTAAATGTCTTAATAATTTGTTTTGTCGAATGCACGAATGGAGATTCTGCAACGTCGTCTAGTTATTCGCATTCACGATGCGATCTGTGTCTAAACATCGAACAAAGTGAGAACGGCTAATTACGAATTATGGTAATGCAACGGGTAGAATGTCGTCTATCGTCCTACAAATCTCATGTCGCACCTGAGCCATACACCATCTGAGGAGGCCACACTGCTAGCCCGGGGTTACAAGCTAGGGAGGAAGCTCGGCGAAGGCTGTTATGCAAAAGTCTGTGTCCTAATTAAAAATCTCTATTATTGCTTTCACACATTTTAAATAACATTAATTTTCTGATTATAGGTGTATTTAGCCGAATATAAGCCAGAACATGAGTCGGAGAAGAATAGCGTCCTGGCCTGTAAAATAATCGACACTGCTAATGCACCAAAGGACTTTGTTCAGAAGTTTCTGCCGCGTGAACTGGATATTCTGGTGAAGCTGAATCATCCACATGTTGTGCACGTTCACAGTATCTTCCAAAGACGCACCAAGTACTTCATATTTATGCGTTTTGCTGAGAACGGTGATCTTTTTAATTTTATACTGAAGAACGGCAGAGTGGCGGAGAGTCAGGCTCGCGTGTGGTTCAGACAGCTCGCTTTAGGTATCATGATACTTCTATCTTAAAGAAACAGCATTAACTCTATAATATTGCTATAAGTGAATTTTCATCCAAGTGCTAATTTAAATATTTGAAGTTCATATTTTTATATAAAAATAATATTAGTTATTTTAACACCTGTGCAACCTATAAAATAGATATTATATAAGTAAAAAATTCTTAATTTTGTGGGTGAATTTTCATTCAAGTTAATATAAAAAAAATGTTAATATAATTAATGTTAATATAAAAAAGTTGAATATTCTAGAGGATTGATTTATTAAAAAGATCAATCACGAATGCAGTTAATAAAAGAAGCTAATAATTATAATCTGATGAGTTAGATTTGTACAAATTCAACATATGCATTTGTTCACGGATATTTTTCCTAATGCGTGTTCGTTTATCAGGTCTTCAATATCTACACGAGATGGAAATAGCGCATCGTGACATCAAATGCGAAAACGTTCTTCTCACGTCAAATTACAACGTCAAACTGGCGGACTTTGGTTTTGCTCGATACATGATTAACAGTCATGGTAAGCGCGTTTTGAGCGACACGTATTGCGGTTCGCTGTCGTACGCGGCACCAGAGATCCTCCGCGGTTATCCGTACAATCCGAAGATATCCGACATATGGGCGCTAGGCGTGATTCTCTACATAATGTTAAACAAGTCCATGCCATTCGACGAGGACAACCTAAAGCGCCTGTACGAGCTGCAGGTAGCGCGCAAATGGAAATTCCGCAGCAAAGTAATCGACGGTCTGACTGATCGTGTAAAGAAGCTTGTAGGCAATTTGCTCGAGCCGGACGTGTCTAAACGCTGGCATTTGGACCAGATCGTGCAGAGCGACTGGATCGCCATGGATCCGCGCCTCTTGGTGCTTACGCCTGCGGAGCAGATCGCGCTTAACAATGCAATCGAGGAACGCAAGAGATTCGAGGAGAAGTTTACGAAGAAGGAATCGGTATGGGTGGAGATAATCCCAATCGTGCAATCGTTGCTCCTAGACATTCTTTATAAGTTTAAATGCCTCTTAGTATCATTTCCGTCATACGTCGTACTGATGATGCGTAAAACGTTGCTGCTCATCCATTTGGCGTACACGCGCATCTTGTCGAGTATTCGATTGCGAGACTAGCCTGAATAACTTTGCAATACATGCTCCCCGAGCGTGTCAATTTTCTTACGTTTCGTAGATCAAAATCTATAATTAAAGAGAACACGCATAACGCAAGTGACGTCACAAAATTACGAATGACCGATTTTCAGAAACGACATAAAATCGAGGAGACAAAAAAGATTGACGAGCATGAAATGGAAGAAATAACGATCCTCAAAGGCGCTGCAAAAGTACGTGCCATTACAATTAATTACATATTAAGGTAATGTTAAACGGCCAAATTTTCTTATCTCTTTCTTAGGGGACAGTTTCCACGATTATGACAAGCCCAAGTTTAACTTAAAAATTGGTCCTTCCCTGTAATATTCGCCTTTTTACATTCTTATCCACTTGTGATAATAAACTAGAAATAATTTGATGCAGTGCAGTTCAATATATTTTTAGCGCAGTTAATATAGATACAATTAATATACATATCTATAAATTTTCATCTTGCGTTTTCCTCTTTTTTTATTTCAAGCTACTGCAAGTAAGAACGATAAATATATGCGAGTGTAAATTAAATATCTATGTAGGAATATACATACCGAATTTCCCGAATTCGAATAAACTCCGTAGGAATTACTAAGAAATAATACTTTACGCGTACTAGTTGCCCACATATCGTGCTTTTAAAACGGTCGTGCTGTTCTCCGTTGTTGCTTTGACATAATAATCGGCACCGAGGTTGAAGGTCTTTATTTGTCCCTCCAGAGACATTTTAAAAATGTGTTCTGGACGGAAAAGTCCTCCGAGATTCCACATACCGTCAGATCGTATTAACAGATGTTGACCATTCGGCGTCTTACTGATTACAAACGAGCTCGAACCCGGCAAAACGTATTGACTGAGTTCGTTCCACGCGTGATAACGCAATATCAAGGTTTCTTCGAACAATCGCAAAAAAATCCATAACGAATGATCGATTGATTCCATAAATATTTCAAGTATATCAGGCACGTATAATCCTGTTAAATATTATTTCGTAACATTACGAGATTCTTCATTACTATAATGTGATTAAATAATGTTTCTTCGTGAGACTCACCTGCTACCTGATAAAATTGTTCATCGGTATACGAATAAATTGAGATAAAATCTTTTGACACTAGTACTAGAAATATAGTATCATCCAGCAGTATCAATTTCTTTGTCACAAACGCGCTGGCATTTGTACCGGCGATAGCATACAATAATTCCGTGTCGTTACAAATTGAAGACGCACTCTTTGACTCGCAAAGACAGGTACTGTTAAGATTCATGTCCTCTGTGTTAGAAGTAGTAGAAACGGTTTGCAATATATCTTCGTCCACCACTTCAAATTTGTTCACATAAATAGCACGATCTGCACACAAAATAATCAATAATATTTTGTTGAATTAATATTATCCATTTTTAAACTATTTAATGATCTGAATGTATAACTCACTTTGCAACGCAGTTGTTATATCTTCCGTCAATGTCATGACTTCCGTCATTCTATCCAAAACTGTGTCTATTTTATTTTTCGCAATATTTGTTAAGTTTATCTTTTCGTAGAGTCCACCGATTGTGATGTTTCCAAAAATTTCAATTTCATTTTTGAAATTCATTTTACTTTCTATTGTCTGCACCGCTTTACGTTTCTTCATTTGATTGTTTATTAACTCCATCAGATTTACATCATTTACAGTACCATCAATAACAAGAGATGGTGCATTAAGTTGGCCTTGTATCCTCTTGGTTCCGAACAATGTTTGATTTCCGGACTTCAGTAACGCGTCTTCGATATTACGACCCATAATTGTACCTTTGACGCTAAAGAAAATACTAAGAGTTCTTAACGACAATTAACAAAAATATTGTTTTGATAGAAATATCAATTACCTCAAATTATTCAAAGTAATGTTGGTAAAAGTTTTTTGACCTTTAATTACCAACTTCTGACATTTTTGAGTTACAGCATATTTAGTAAAGTTCGAAAAGTTCATATTCAATGCCTGGAGATTTTTAGTCGTCAAGCTTAATATCGTTTTCTTACCGGTGACAATATTACGTTTTGTGTCACGCCTAACAATATCCGTGTTTAAGTCGATTCCATTAAATTTACCATCCCAAATCATATTATCTAAATTAAAGATATAATTTATTTTTTTAAATTTATTTTTTTAAGAAAAATAATGCTCTATCTTACTTATGTACAATTCTTCAAAACGCCACGCAACATCTACAGTTTGCGTCGTATTTTTCATCAAGGAATTAGTTAGCAAATTGTTCAAATTCAAATCTGAAGACTGTAGAATTGAATTATTTTCTGCGTTCATAGAAGGCACCTCAACATTCTTAAACGACGAAACTACAGTAATATGCTGTGTTTCTGTTTTGCTTAAAAATTTATATTTCATATCCTTCCACATGTTTAGATTCAATGAATTATTAGAATGCTGAAAAAATTATTAAATTTCTTATGGTTAATATTATTTTTTTTTATACGTAAGGTAGCCTTTGTTTTACTGATGTTTTTACCTTTAGCACAATATCTCCTGTTAAAGTAATGTTTTCAAAGTATATATTGTTACCACATAAAGTTGTGTCCTGATTTGCCATCCATAAATTCTCAGATAATTGCTTTAGATTCACATCCTTTATATTTTCTATAACTGGCTCCTTCAAAAATCTGACTGATCCTAAAATAGAAATATTTACATACATCATTAAAATTCTTTCGTCATAAAATATAATTAGTAAATTCTGTCACTGTGTACCTTGTATAATAAATGTTGATGGGGTATCGCTTGTGACGTAACCAAAAGTCTGAGGCACATTTATCGCATCTGTACTTAAAGTAGTAGAAATCCGTTTTGAACCCAAATTGAGATTTGTATCTAAATGCGAAAGTTTTAATGTCGAGCGGGAAGCATTTATGTTGCTTGACGTAAAACCACGAGCTG